TAGTAAGATATGCACTCACGCGGTTTATGAAAGCAAATCAATCCAGTAGCAGTCAGAGATAGCAAGAAAGAGCCTACAAAGATTTTTACAATCAAAGCTGCCTATCTCCTACTGCAAAAGTTAACAGAGCGCAGTCAACACTTCTAAGATACTTTTTGAGTAATAATCCTCCTTTTCTGCATGTTTGTAATTTGCCAATTCTGAGCGTAAAAATAGTTCTTTCCTTCATATTGGCAAACCTTTTCTCGCTCATTTGCTCGTGAAACTTCCAACAAGAAAATTCAAACGATAAAGGGAATGTCTTGTTAGGTTAATTCTTCGTATGTGATGTAGTACTACAGTATTCAATATTACCGCTGACTCGGAGCACTTGCCCTATTCGCCTTGACTTGAAAAAGCAGGAACACATTTGAAGATTTTAAGCTCGAACAGCGTTGTTCTTTTGAAGCAGCCAAAATTTGTTGAACACTCATGCATGCTTTTCATTTTTTTCCAAATTCAAGTTCCCGCATTAAACCGAAATGTTTACGTCTTTTTTTTACTAAATAGTAGAACTATGTACTGGTATACACACCGATAGTATACAGTAGGCAATTGTGTAATATATGGCATATATAGTATGGTACCAAACTATAATAATATTAAAATATTGAATAGACATAAACATATAGCTAATTAAGTTTTTATGCACATGTGCCTTCTCCCACACTTTACTGCGGATGTCACTGCAAAGTTTTACCAAAAGTACGGTGGACGTTTGTGTGCTTATGCAAAAATCAGTGTAGAAGCACCACCTGAAGGCGACTCAGGTCTACGACATGATCAAATTCCGATGCTTCTTCCATCAAATTGCTCAACCTCAAAACATTGGGACAACTTTATTTTTCAATACACAATGATGTCTTAGTTGAAGAGGATATAAGAATGACATTCCGCTAGTATTTTTATCTAATTCTGCAACTTAAGTTTGAAGTCACCATTTCGCAATAGCAGTTCGATGATAGAAATAAAAATGCAGCGCTCTAATGGAAGAAATGCTGTTTTTGAAATAGAGATGTACCTTGAGAAGAAGCTGAAAAGTTAGCAGGCAGCTGAAACGTTTAGTTCCACAAACGCCCTCACTGCTCTTTGACTTTCCTAAAATTTTTCAAAAGCACATCTGTTTCATCACTGCAATTTTCGATAATGCATAAATGATCAAAAGAATAAATGCAGCAACGATTGACAAAAAGGCAATGACGTCAAAAAATAGTACTGAATAAAGTTGAGTTTATTTCCTGCTGGCACAAGATTATCCAAAGTTTTGAATTCTGCGATGAAATTAGCCCAAGAAACAAGAAGTTGGCTGACGCTCACAGGTTTCTTCCTAACCATCCGCGATAGTCGTTTTATATTTTTGGAATAGCTAAAAAGTATATTATATTCATAAGCATATCAAGAGCATTAATACCAACCTCTCATCAGTAAGCACTCTATTCAGTGCATCTGCTACTGTATCCACACTGACCTCGTTTTTGTGAATCCTAATGGCAAGGTGATGTCTCTCAGCCAATCTGGCGTTCCTTGGTTGGTCACCAAAGAAAGGGATGGTGATTAATAGTACTCCTGCGAAAATTGCTTAATGGCAATATTCTTTAGAATAAGCTTATTCATTCGATTCTGAAACTACCTGCAAACTATACCCTCCATGACTTATAAATGCTTTGGTTTTGGGATTTTGCAAAAGATCTGATTGTGGGAGCCATTTGAAGATGTGCACATTTGTTGGAAGTTTGTCTGTAAGCAATTAAATTCAAGACCTACAAACTACTGCAAAAGTAGATTAAGCTGATATTGCAATTTTACAATATTTGAGATAATTTAGAGGATATTTTCTTACTAAGATAACGTTAAAAACCATATGCAAAAACATTCTTCTTTCATAGAAAAGATTTAAGTTTTTTCAAAAGATCTCCCATCTTGAAACCTTGGCATGGTTACGATTTGATCTTGATGTTAGTATGCCGTAACAGGTTTTTATGGAAACACTTTATTTTGCTTTACGTTTCGGCTCAACGCCGTCCTCAGAGGCCTGAAAGTGAGTCAATTATCTATCAGGCGGTTATACCTTAAAAAAATCTCTGTCACATCACATATTCAACTCCTCCTCAACGATTGCGGCTGAGTCAAAGCTGATATGATGACTCACCAGTGTTCCACAGAGCTTAGCACAAGCTAGCTCACTTTACAAATGTCCACAGATGACAGTAAAAACTGAGCGGTGCAGAGGACTTGCACCCGCTTAAGTAGTGCTGGAGATTCTTATAACTCACAGAATGATAAGAACGGCCGAATCATTCGTTATAGACAATTGCTCGTTCTTGCTGTTTATTTTAGGGTTACGCGTAAGAATGTATGAAGCTTCCAAGGCTTTCCGAGCAGAAATATGCTCTACAAACGCAAGATAGGCATTTAATATCAAAATCATCTCCACTGAGGACATCCTTTCTGTGCTTCCCTAACAGTCTTATGAGACTCTGCCGTCTCTTACTAGCCAGATGTTCATTTACACGTACGGAAAGTTGTCGGCCGGTCTCGCTTATGTATATGGCATAGCAATCTACACACTCCAACTGGTAGACTACTCCGCACTTAGAGCAATCTCCCACTTTTCCATCAGGATTCTCAATCAGGACATCCTATTTTGCTCATAAAGCAAACTGCAAGCACCGGCGCTAGTCTTTGTCCCATTGCCAATCCTCTCACTTGTGTAAAGTACTTGCCCGATCATTTGAAAATGTTGCGGCCGAGACATTCCTTAACCAGAGACATGATTCTCGCTTCATTGAGCCCGTACGTTTCTATTCTAGGGATATGTAGATCGTTGCTGTTTGACACATTTGTATACATCGACGCAACATCAAATGACTGTATAAAGTTTTGGTCGTTCGTGTTACGTAAATGTTCAAGGAATCGGTTAGTGTTAGGCAAATATGCGGGAACTTTACTTAGGAATTGGCTGACAATCTTGTTCAAAAACGAAGAC